GTTTTCCAGGTTGTAAATCTTTACGGAAGCAGGAAGTCTTGTTTTTCTCCCATGGAGTGGCTGGTGTGTTCCAATTGCTGACCTTGCTGTTAGCAGCCCAGCTGATAATCCACTATATTGTCAGCACTCCTTTCAGAAGGTGGCGGATGTCATTAACAAGGGTAAAAAAGAAGTGAACTTCTGAGTTATGAAAAGAATATCTCACATCTTGGCTTGAGGTACAGAAACAAATCAATAGAAATATTGCAAACACAAATGTAAAGGACTTTGATGACCAGGAATCATATTTGCTTAGGAAATCAAGGACTGATGGAGTTGTTTGAAAACCGCATCCTAGTATTGCAGGCTTTAGAACGCAGAAATGCCACTCAAGTTCTAGAACATTCAAAAGCTGTGAATCCATTAACTCATGGAAAGCCCAACAAATGAGCTTCATGGAAGACTAGGTATTGTACAACAACAATTTCTGAGACCCAGAATTACTACTGTAATTTACCAGTCCAGGATGGCCAGACTTTGTTTCTCATACTTTGGACATATTGTCAGCATAGACTAGTCGCTGGAGAAGGATATCATGTTTGGTAGGGTGGAGGGGTAGAGAAAAAGAAGAAGACCCCCAGTGAGATGGATTGGCCAAGTGGCAGCATCATCAATGGACTCAAATGTGGCAACAATTGTAAGGTTAGCCCAGGACCGGGCAGTGTCTCTTTCTGTTGTGCATAGGGTTGCTAGGAGTCGGTATCAACTCGATGGCACCTAACAGCAACAACAGTCCGGTGAGAGATAACCTAGCAGGTAGCTGCTGAAGACACTCCACCTATATCCAGGACCATCAAGAATTCCTTTAGTGAGAAGACATTCTAACCAAAAGAAGAAAAAGAAAAATGTAATGGAGGAAGGCAAAAAACCCCCAAAAAGTACCCAATGGCATTGGCCTGAAATTAGAGTTGTCAATATGACTGAGCTATATGAAATTGCCATTTTTTATACTAGCTGTGTCCACTGAAAGACCCTCAAAGAAATAGCATCTCACTAGCAATGAGCACACCTACACTCAGATCTTGTTTTCTAAATACCATTCCTGAGTAAAAAGAACCAGAGTATAGTTGGAGAAAGGCTACTCCAGGCTGGGATAGAGAAAGTACAAAAAAGTTCCTGGAACATCTTGTAATTTCTGAAAGTAAGAAAATGCTCAAAAGAGGATGTTGTTAGGTGCAGTAGAATCGGTATCAACTCATTGTGACTCATAGTGAAACACTGCCCGGTCCTGCACCAACCGCACAATCATAGCTACACTTGAGCCCATTGCTGCTGCCACTGTGCCACTCCATCTCATTCGAGGTCTCCCTCTTTTTCACTGACCCTCAAGGAGATGAATTGGCATTGGAGGAAACAATGGGCTCAAACACAGCAACAATTGTGAGGATGGTGTAGGACCGGGCTGTGTTTCATTCTGTTATGTATAGGATCACTCACTATGAGTTCGAACTGACTCGGTGGTACCTAGCAATAACAACAAAGGCCATCGTAGAACGGCCTCACAGGATTTCCAAGGCTGTAAACATTTATGGAAGCAGACTGCCTCATCTTTCTCTCTTGGAACAGCTAATGGATTTGAATCACTGATCTTTTGGTAAGCAGCTTAACCCATGACACCACCAGGCCTCCAAATAGATGGCTGGGATGAGAAATGAATCCCAGTTCTCTTTTCACTTTCAGCCACGTCACAGAACAAATATAACTCCAGACTTGGTGAATATCCTTGCTGTGCCAGATATGTTGGCTGATAATGTTTATTCAAAACTTGAAGGATACTTAGACATGTAGAGATGGTCGGGCACAGAGAACACAATACTAAATACAGAGAAAGCGATTTGCAATTGTGCTCATGAAAAAAATAATAATAAAAATGATGAGAACCAGGAAATTAGAACAACAAAAGAAGGAGATGAAATGGCTTAGGCAATGAGATGACAACTATTTAAAACCCCTAAATTGTAAGATTTATAAAGCAAAGACTGGTCATACTCCAAAACGTTGACATTGTTGTTAAGTGCCATTGAGTCAGTTCCAACCCATAGAAACCTTGTATAGGGTTTCCAATGAGTGGCTGGTGAGCTTGAACTGCCAACCTTATAGTTTAAACCAACTTTTCAGTCCAGCGCATTAACCCCCAGTGCCACACCAAAACACCTGATGTTAACAGTGGCTGTCTTTCCCCTTGACTTTAAAAATCAGTTCCAAACGTCCTGTGGCATAGTTTACTACTGTAATTTGGGAGAAAGGCACATTCGCCTTGGTTTTCAGCATCCCAGTTTGCCGTTGTTGGTTGCTGCGGAGTTGATGCTGACTCCCGGTGTCCCATGTGTGATGAGCAGAACTGCTCCGTGTGGCTGGTTTTCTCGGCTGTCATCTTTGTGGAAGCAGATGGAGCGTCTGGCTAGATCCAAACACCAACTTTCCGGTTCACAGTTAAGTACAATCCAAACACCAGCTTTCCGGTTCACAGTTAAGTACAAACCATTTGCAACACCGCTAGGTGGGTGGTTCAAATCTACCAGCTGCTTCTCGGAAACCCCACAAAGAACTGACTCAATGGCAATTCACAACAACAACAACAACAACAACAAAGTGGCTGTTATAATTTGGGCACTACAGTTCAAAAGAAAAACAAAAAACTCACTGCCATCGAGTTGAGTGTGAGTCATAGTAACCATTTTTGGAGAGAGTAGAGCAGCTCCACAGGGTTTTAGAGACTGTGAATTTCCACATGAACGCACAGCCTCATCCTTTTCCTGAGTAGCGGCTGGTGGATTCGAACCCTCCGACCTTGCAGTTAGCAGCCTACTATTTATCCTACAGCGCCACACCATCAGGTGATGCAATTAGTCACCAGGGCCCCTTATTTTAGAAGGATCCCAAGGGTCATGAGAAAAGCTTTTGGCACGGCAAGCTACAAATGACTACCATGTCTAATGCAGTACTGGTGTGGTGCTGTGGGTTAATGCACTGCACTGCAAAGCCGGTTTGAACTGCAAGGTCAGTGGTTCAAACTCACGAGCTGCTCCTCGGAAATCCTTACAGGATCGCTATGGGTCAGAACTGACTCCACAGCATTTAACAACAACAACCACAACCATGTCTAATAGAAAATTTGAAAGTGTCTCAATGCTTAAGAAAAGGAAGGGCAAGTTATGTACCTTTTTCTCTTTTTTCATCCTCAACCATTCTCTTTCCTGTGAGGAACTCATGCCTTGGAGTCCCCAACAGCCCAGTCCATTGAAGACCCAGTCCTGACCACTCAGAGCTATTCTCAGCGAACACACACTGTTCTGAGAAAGGAAGCTCCCCTCCCCCAGCCCTTTCCATTTAGGAACAGTGCTGGGAGGGGGCGCATCAGGATGCTGGGACCTTCTTCTGGAAGTGTGGGGCCTCAGTGCCTGAAACAGCTGGCCTTGGGCAAATGAAAGATTAGGTCATTTACTAAAAACAAAAAGAAAAAGCTTGTCTTAGATATGGAAGGACAGACGCCTGGTGGTATTATTTTTATCCTTTGGACCCAGACATACCTTGTGTGTGTGTGTCAGAGTAGATCTGTGTTTCAGAGGCTGTTCGATGACTGATTTATTGTAAGTACATCACCATGTCTTTCTTGTGAGGAACCTCAAACCTTTCTGTCAGCAGGGGAGTGCTCTAACAGTTTGCAATACCCAGAGGCCCTGCAGTCCATATGTTCCTTTTTGTTATTTAAACCAGTTTGAGTTGGTTTGGGCCACTTAAAAAAGGAGAAATGGTGGCAAAAGCAGGTAAATTAAAACAACTATGTTGCTGTAGGGTAAGCTCTGAGCTGTCAACTACAAGGTCGGTGGTTCAAACCCACCAGCCGCTCCTGAGAAACAGGGTTACTCTGAGTCAGAACCAACTTGTCGGCACCTTAACAACAACAATATATAATCAAGAGAAGATTTTGCAACATAAGAAATGCAAACTATAAAAACAAAGCATTGAATGGCAGCAAATATTCTGAGCATTATATATTGGTAGGTAGATGAGGGAATTAAGAATGAGTTAGAGAGAACTTGCAGTAAATTACAGGGATAAAATATCTCTAATGCAGCCTTGAGGGAGGGTGAAACATCAGGCAGTCTAGTGGCAAGTACCTAAAACCAGCAGGTCAACCCCCAAAGCAAGATGAGCGCAGGAAGAACTTCTGTGCCAAGATACCCTAGTTGTCACCTTTGCTTTGGGAATTGTTTCTTTCTCCTATTTAAAAATTTCCTCAATTCTCCAAAAATTGCATTTAATGTGCATGCACTACTTTTAAAATAGAGACTAGGGACTATTGCAAAAGAAAAAATTTTTAAAAAAGTAGATCAACTGGTAAGCCAAGAGAATTTCTATAGGGTCTGATGTCCTGAAGTTGTTCCAAGGACTTGATCAGGAGGAAAGAAACGGGGACCCAAAGGGATCCTGTGCCTCTTCCTTCCGACTGGAAATGGCTTGAGCAGGTCTTCGTGATGGCCGTTCATGTGTAAGCACAGGAGTTTTGCCAGTGACTAAGCTGAGGGAGGGAGGAAGAGAGAACACAAGGTGAGGCGATGTGGATGAAACACAAACATATAATCTCCTCCCTGGGCTCTGCTGACTTCCTGTAGGCCTGGCATCCAGCAGTATGTGTTTAATGTGGACTGACTGTAAGCCAGTGAATGGGGTACTGAAGAGGTGACACAAACAAGGTAGCATGTGTGTGAAGGCGTGAGGGGGAAGTGGGGGGAATGGGGATAGGTTGACCTTCACAAGGTCATCAGTGTGGCTGATGATGCCCTCTAGGTGGGCCCATTGCCCTCAATGGGGAGACCCCTGTGGACCTTCTATGATATCTCCTCTGCTAGCTTCCCTGCCCCACACTGGTCCCTTGTAGTGTGCTCCCACATCCCTGGTCTTAGCTGACTTTCCTTCCTTTCTCTCACCTGGCATCCTGCTGGGGGTTGAGGCAGATCCTACATGGCCCCCTCAGAGTAGAGTTCATCTTCAGAAGCAGAGTTGATAAGGCCTTTTTCTTGTAAGAATTTCTGGAGGGAAACAAAAACAAAACACCAATCCTAGGAAAGATGCCACAAAGGCCTCAGACCAAACTCTGAGTTTGTAATCCTGACTTTACTTGCAACTAGCTGTTAGAACTGAGCAAGTTACTTAAGCCCCTGCTAGAAGATGCTCAATGCCGTCTTTTGTAATGTTGAGAAGACCCTCTCCCCAGCACATGGATGTCTAGATGTATCCAGGGGGGATTAAAAAGCATGACCAGCTCTATCCAGGCCAGGTATAACTGGTACCTCCAACACCACCATGCCCTTAGACCCATCCAGGCAGACACTCTCTTGACATCTGTCCCATGAATCTTGGTTCCCATAAACACAAAGACAGTTGCCATTGAGTCAAATCCAATTCATGGTGACCTCATGGGTCAGAGGAGACCTGTGCTCCATAAAGTTATCAATGAACGATATTTCAGAAGTAGATCTTTCTGGGTTTTCTTCCAAGGTGCCTCTGGGCAGGCTCAGATTTCCAACATTTTTATTTAGTGACTAAGTATTTAGTTGTTTGTACCACCGTAGGGCCCCAGATAAAGCCCCCGCCCTCTCCAGTCCCACCCAAGAGGGAAGTTGTGGTCTTACCTGCTGTTGCAGGCACTCGTAGAGCTGGGTGACTTCGGTCAGCAGCTTTTCTAGCTCATGAGCCTGGGCCCTCAGTGCCTTGGCAGCCTCTGACCCTGTTCCGTCTTTCAGTTGCTTCCAGTCCATCAAAAGGGTGGCTAAGTCAATGCTAACGAATAAACCAGCCTTGGCAATGCCCAGCAGACGGGCTCTTTTGACCATCACTAGTGTAGTGCCCTCAAAGGCTCTTTGTATCTGCTTGCTCTTTCGGGCCGAGACTTGACCATTGGTCAGGAACTGTTTGGCAGCAGCAGCCAAATGAGGGTGGGCCCTGACTCTCTGAAAGGCATGAAGGTTCTTCTTGACATCTTTGATGGAATCTCTACACTGATAGGCAACTTGACCAACTGCTGTGGCATAGGAGACCTCCTTTCCTTCAGCCTTCCTGTCCTCTTGACTGTGGACAGGAACTAGACTACTGGCCTGTGCTTGAACTTTCTTTTTGTGAAGGTGCTCACAAATGCTGGTCAAGATGCTGGTGACCCCAGCTGCTGCCTGCAAACCTTTACCAGCAGCAGAAAGCACCAGGCTTCCCCCTAATGTTGCTGCAGGAAGGGCTAAACCCAGGATGCTTATGACCCCAGACACAAGAGTGATGGAGTTGACCACTATATTGGTTTTGGAAAACGTTTCATGGATTGTGTCCATGTGGTCAGCAAGTGCATGGATCTTGCTGATACGCACTTCTAGGTCATATTTCAATAGATGAAACTCTTCCAAAAATATTCTTTCTTCAGCAGATACATCCACATCTTCTTGTAGATCCCACATGCCATCTTCCTTCAGAACAAGGTCATCCTTGCCACTGTTGGTGAGTAAAAGAAAGATTTTGCAGCAAACTCTCAGATGGAAAAGATAATTAGTTAGGCACATGTCATCTCAGGATATTCTTGTCACCTTTGTGCTCCCTGCATCTCCCTAATGCCCCTAACCCCCTGACCTGACCGTGAGGAGTCCCACAGTGCTACCAGGAAGTTCAGTCATCACTAATCGGTACTAGTTCCATGAACCAAAGAGACAAGTAAAACAGACATTTGCCAAGTGATAAGAGCCCTGGAGAATGCCCACTGCTCCTTTTGCCTGACTTGAGTCCTCTGGCTGCCCCACCAAGCCTGCACTGCTAGACATTCCAGCAGCAACCCCCAGTTACCGCTCATCCTGCTGTGCCTGAGTCCTCTGTGCCCCTTGTCCGAGTCACGAGATGAGGCACCCCCAGGGACCTACCCACCACGCATGCTTCCCACGTTCTACCTATCGAAATAACTCTATTAACCAAGTGGATCTCACAGAACACGCCACCCAACAACAGTGCAATATGCATTCAGCGTTCTCCAGAGTAGCTCTTATTTTAGACCACCAAGCAAGAATCAATATATTAAAAAAGACTGAAATTATATAAATCATCTTCTCTAACTATAAAAGTATGAAACTAGAATCAAGAATAGGAAGAACAAGGAAAATGAATTAAATACATGAAAACTAAATAACACATTACTAAAAAACTATTGGATCATAGAAAAATCAAAAAGCAAATTAAAAATACTTCAATCAAACCAGACTGAAAACACAACATACCAAGACCTTTGGATGCAGTAAAAGCAGTTCTCAGAGGGAAATCTATAGTAATAAATGCATACATTAAAAAAGAAGAAAAGCCCCAAATCAGTGACCTAGCCTTACCACTTCAACAAACATTCAAGGAAGACAAGAAGAAAATCAAAGCTACCTGAAGAAAGGAAATAATAAAGATTAGAGCAGAAATAAGTGAAATGAAATAAAAACAGAACAATAAGGCTGTTAGTTGGTTCTTTGATAGGATCAATAAAACTGACAAGTCACTGACAAAATTGACAAGGGAGAGCAATGAGAAGACACTGATAACTAAAAAAGAAAGGATGTTGGAGACATGACAACAGATCCAACCGAGGGAAGGAGGGTCATAAGAGAAGGCTATGAAAAACTGTACTCCAGCAAATGTGAAAACTTAGAAGAAATAGACAAATTTCTAGAAACACACTGCCCATCCAAAATAACATAAATAGTGGCAGAATATCTAAACAGACACATCACAAAAGAAGAGATAGAAAAACATTATATGTAAAACAAAAACAAACAAACAAAATCTCCCAAGGCTTCACTGGAAAAATTTCCCAACCATTTAGAGAAGAGATGATACCAATTTTACTCAAATTCTTCCAAAACAGCGAAAGGAAAGGAACACCTCCTAACTCATTCTATGAAGCCAGCATCCTGGGAGACTAAAGCTAGATAAAGACATAACACATAAAAAAGAAAATTATAGATCAATGTCTCTCATGAATAGAGACACAAATACCCTCAATAAAATTCTAGCAAGCAGAATTCAATAACACATTAAGGAAATCGTACATCGTGATCCAGTGGAATTCATAGCAGGAATGTAAGGGTGGTGCAGCTTTAGAAAGTCAATCAACGCACTCACCACATCCATAAAACAAAGGAAGAAAATACGTGATTCTCTAAAGTGATGCAGAAAAGGCATTTGATAAAATCCAACACTGTTTCCTGATAAAAACTCTCAGCAAAATAGGAATCGAAAGGGAAATCCTCAACATAATTAAGAGCATATGTGCAAAAAAAAAAAAAAAAAAAAAAAGCATATGTGTGTGCAAAACCAAGAGTTTACATTATTCTCAATAGAGAAAGACTGAAAATGTTCCCCTTGAGAACAGAAATGGGACAAGAATCGCCTTTATCACCACTCTTATTCAGCATTGTACTGGAAGGCCAGCCAGAGTAATAAAGCAAGAAAGGGAAATGTTGTTGTTAAGTGCTGCCAAGTTGGTTCTGACTTATAACAAACGACCCTGTAGAGGGTTTTCCAAGGAGTGGCTGGTATTGTTGAACCACCAACATTGAGACTTACAGTCCAGTGCTTATCCTACAGTGCCATGACAGGACTTCCAAAATATCATATACTTCCTTCAAGCCATAGTCGAACCAAGAAAGCTATTTGTTCTAATAGAATGATTCAGCAAAGTGTCAGGGTGCAAAATCAACACACAAATAAGTTGGGTTCCTTTACACTAATAGAGTATGCTGAAAAAGAAATCAAGAAAACAATATCATTTACAATAGCCACCCCCCACTAAAGAGAAAAAACCTAGAAATCAATCAAACAAAGGATATAATAGATCAATGCAATAAAAACTACAAACATAATTGCAAGAAATTGAAAGAGGTCTACATAAGGGGGAAACATGCTATGCTCATGGGTTGGAAGACTTAACATTGTGGAATGGCAATATCACCCAGAGCTATCTGTAGATCGTATAATGCAATCCTGGTTCAAGTTCCAACAGTGTTATTAACTGAAATGGAAAAACGTATTGCCAACTTTATATGTAAAAAGGAAAGAGGGCTGGAATAGCAAGAACAATATTGAAGGACTCCCTATCTCAAAACATACTATATTATTGTTAGGTGCCTATACACCCTATACACAACAGAATGAAACACTGCCCGGTCCTGCGCCCAAGTATACTTACAGCCACAGTCATCAAAGCAGCCTGATGTTGATTCAATGACAGACATTTAGACGAATGGAATAGAATTGAGAATCCAGAAGTAAATCCATCCATCTATGAACAGTTGGTTTTTGACAAGGGATCAAGGTCCATTCAATGGGGAAGAAACAATCTCTTTAACAAATGACGTTGACAAAACTGGAGCATTGGCAGAAAAGTGAAACAGAGACACATGCGTCACACCAGGCACAAAAGCAAACTCAAATGGATCAAAGACCTAGCTGTTAAAGCGCAAATTAAAAAGTTCCAGAAAGATCTTAGTGATAAAACTGAGAACTAATTTTCTCAGAAATAGATGATCAAACACAATTACAAATGCACAAACAAGAGAAGAGAAATTAGATAACTGGGCCCCCTAAAAATTATGCACTGATGTTCAGCTAAATAGTATAAGGAGAACCTACAGACTGGGGTAAAAATCTTTGGAGATGAGATCTGACGGAGGTCTAATCTCTAAAATATATAGAAAATTTAAACAGCTCAATAACAAAAGATGAATTATTGAAAAATGGGCAAAAGACATGAACAGGCACTTCACTAAAAAGGACAATTAAGCAGCCAACAAACAGATGAAAACATGCTCATGATCACTAGCCATTGTTGTGAGGTGTTGTTGAGTTGGTTCTGGCACAACAGAACACAAGACTGCGTGGTCCTGTGCCATCCTCACAATAGCTACTGTTTTTGAGCACATTGTTTCTCAATGCAGCTAGTCATTGTGTGCTGGGAGCGGTTGAATGTAGAGAACGGCTTCAATCTGTCGCTTGACACAGTTCCGGCAGATGGAAAGGTCATCTTGCAAGACAGATGGCTCTCAGAAGTCGCTTTCTACCTTCTCTTTAGGGTAATCTTGAATTTACTTGTAAAAATATATAATATGGCCATATTCACAGCCTTTCACTATGAGTTCTACAAACCTTAGGAAAACTAGCTTATCAACAATTGCTTTCGGCTTTGGTGGACTGAATACAAAGAGAATTGTGTAAATTACTCCCTTTCCTTAGAAAACCTAAGTAACTGCATTTGTGAGGCCACAAAAGCAGATAGCATATTAAAGTCAAGCTGACCTACCCCCATAGACCTCACCACAATCAGTCACTAGCTAGAATTCACAAACCCCTACATACAAACACCTGCGTAAATAAGCAGAAAATAATGAACTTATGTGAAAGATAGTTTTGACTTGATAATCTACACTTCCTGCAGCAATTAGCCAGGTTGGGCTTTATGCCAATAGCTTCCAAGCAATTTAATGAATACTTTAGAAAAATAAATAAGTAGATGTTAGTAATACTTTTATTATGAAAATAATAGTACATTATGTAGGATAGAAAGTTGATAATTAGTAGGAATAATAAGGTAGTACAAACATTAATGATTAATAGAAACTTATGTTACTAAGAAAATGTAATCAGCAGTGTGATAAGTAGAAATGATTTGTGTAAAGTTTGACTTAAACTTTTAGTGAAAATAAGAAGAAACAGTTTATCACATACTGGGAAAGGAGATGAAAGTCAGTTTGAACATCACAGAAATATTTTTGTCAAAGTTGTCTAATGACCAGGTACTAGAATGTTGTGACTAACTGTGTAATAATTCAAGAAAAGATCAAAGTGTCAATTCATTATGTACTGTGTAGTTTTAAGTATAAAAATAAAGACTTGCTGAGCTGGGCCAGAAGCAGAAGGCAGAACAAGCTAGAGAGCATGGACAGCACAGCAAGCTGACTGAGAAAGCCATTTATTCATTCACCACTGACTCCGCATCTCCTCTCGTGTCCCACCACCCCCTGCGGAGAGCTGGTCTTCCTGCAATTGTGGAGGTGGTGGTGGTGGTGATGGTGATGTGCTGTGGAGTCGGTTTTGACTCACAGAGACCCTTTAAAGGGTTTCCGAGGCTGTAAATCTTTATGGGAGCAGAAAGCCTCATCTTTCTCCCACGGAACAGCTGGTAGTTTAGAACTGCTGACTGTGAGATTAGCAGCCTGATTCATAAACACTACACTACCAGAGATCCTTAGCTAGTCATTGTTGTTGTGAAGTCCAACACATAGCGACCCTGTACAGGGTTTCTCAGGTTGTAAATCTTTACGGGAGCAGAAAGCCTCATCTTTCTTCCGTGGAACAGCTGGTAGTTTCAAACTGCTGATTTTGCGGTTAGCAGCCCGACTTGTAAACACTACACTACCAGAGATCCTTAGCTAGT